GGTATGTGGATTGCACACTGCCTGCCACATCTGTGCTGTGCTCTGCTGTGCTCTGCTGTGCTGTGCATCTGTGCACACACAGGCTAATGCCAGTCAATTATAGTACCAATGAGTGTACGAGCGGCAATCAGGTTTTTCGGATTCCTAGGAGGATTTTCCTTCTTTTTTTTTTTCTTTCAAAAATCTGTAAATACTCTAATATCAAAAATCGTCCAAGCAATGCATCTGTGTGCCATTTTTTTTTAATTGTTTCCATCGAAAAAGAGCAAAAAAAACTCGTGCGACAATCTCATGTTTCCATTTGAAAATCAGACCCAAAGCTGCATATAGTTTTCCATAACTGTAAACCGAACTTTGTGATCAAAGATCGTTTAGCAATAAAGTACACAATTTTTTGTTGGCATTAAATTGAAGCCAGAAATGAATCAATCCTCTGAGCAATCTTTTATTTCCATCCAAGAAATATATCTAGCAAATTCTTGAATATACATATATTTAGTACTCGTAGCACACATTCCAAATATTCTAAAAAACAAAAACCAAAAACGTAAACACTTTATTGTTTACGCGCGTGCAATTTTTTGCAATTAACAAAACATAATAATAAAAAATCAAAAATATTAAGCAACAAATTAAAAAAAAAAAAAAACTCCCTTGGCTGGAACCAACAAAATAAAATACAACAATTTATTGTTATTAGTATGTATTACTAAGTAATATTCTTGAGATTGCTCGCTTTCAGTGTTTTTTTGTTGTTCCCTTTTGCTTTTTGCCTCTTCTTTTGTTTGTTTGGCTTTGCTGTTGCTTTGTGCGTGGAAATGCAAACAGAACATGAATTTTTATTTACCATTTATCAGCACACATCGGCCGATATATATATCCATATACTGTACATATATGGGTAAATGTAGGAGTGTGTGTGAGTGTGTGTGGGTGGGGGGGCTAAGGGTATCAAATTATCAAGGTGAAAAAGCCCTGAGGCTATCTATCTATCTATCGAAGAGCTTTGCAATGGTTCAAGGGATTGTGGCAGGTGCCTCATGCTTCCCAGGGTTCATTGGGGTGCAGACACCTCTCGAATGGTATTCCCTTGTGCCGAGCCATTCATATTCAAGAACTTATTCTTCTTTGCATTGCTTGAAGCCCCCTCGATGAGTTCCTGACTTGATTCAGATTCTATTCGATCACACATCACAATCTTTCGGTGCAATAAACTCACAGGTTTACGATCTATAAAACAATTAATCAATCAATCCATCATCGTGTCAGCAATGAATCTACAATGGGAATCTATGGATCCCTGATTTTGTAATCCATAAAGAAAACAAAACAATGAATCAAACGAATACCAAAGCCAATGATGTCAAAGGTTTTATGGTCCATTATTCATAGATTAGTTAATTAAAATTTTAAATGTTCTTCCACCAAAGAATCTTGATTAAATATCTATCAAAATAGCAAAGATCGAGCATTGGAAAAAACAAACAACTCTTTTGGGGGCCCAATATTATTCTGCCATTTTACGAGGTATCCGTGCGTTGCGTTCTTCATTTTGTCATTCAGATAGTTAGTATATATGCATATATATTTGTTTTCGTATCTCTGGCGCCAGTTATCCGACCGCAGCAACAATAATAACAACAACAACAATGGCAACAACAATGGCAACGAGCTGCTATTAAAAACATAATTTATCAACAATTTACATGCCAAGTCCAAGGCGTTTGTTAAGTGTTATTAAAAAATTACAAAGATCGACAGCGAAGTAGATTGCAGTGGCCAGCCTTGCCTGCCTGACTGCCTGCCTGATGAATGGATGGATGGATGGATGGCCGTACTGGTTGTGCAGCAGCCTCATGAATATGCAGAAGGAAGACCCCAAAGACTGCCTCAAGAAAAAGAAAATTGCTGTGATAGTTTTTCCAATCACAAAATTATACTCGCAATCGCTGCAAAAAAGGGTGTGCCAGTGTACAAGATTTCAATTGGAAATTGCCAACCCAAAGGCCAATTATACATTTGTGTCCCCACGAGAGATGCCCCCAAATTGCAGATCTCATCGCCACATACATATCTGTATGTATGTATAATCGATGAGCGATTTATGAGTATTATTTCCCCCGCCCCAAAACTACTTGAAAGCAAAAATAAACAAATAAACAAAGAATCGTTTGGCGGCTGCTGAATGGAATATTTCATTTGTCGATTCTTCAGATTATTCTCCCCCAAGTCAAGTCAGCACTTTGTGGGGGAATGGAAAAGTTTTGTAGGGTCTGCCCTGCCCCACAGCAAATCGGTTTGGTGGGTGAAACTGATGTGGAAATTCTAAGAAACTTTATCGATTCATTTTATTGATGAGCCGTACAGAAAATTCACAGATCTCTTTGCCTTTTGCTGTCAAGTATTTACACTCGGCTTGCGGCTTTTTCGCTCTTGTTTAGTGATGATTTATGACAGCTAAATTGATACTAATCGATAAATACCTTTGTGGATCTATTAATTCGCGATATTCCTTGATGAGAGGTGCATTAATGTTGGTCTCTCTTTTTGTGCTACAATCTTTACTTGGTTTAGTGATGCTTTTCGGTCATTATCGATCGATAAGTAACTTTGTTTTTTGTGATCATGTGATGGCATTTTTGCGTAGCCTCTGGCTGACATATTTATCTCTTATTATTTCTCTTTCCAACGGGTGCATAAAAAAAAAATTTGAAATATTTGAAGCGTTTGGCACGTGGGTGAAAAACCGACCAAGCGGCAGAGGCGGAAGCGGCACTTGATGATGGCCAAATATGTATCTCAGCGAATGTATCTCGCGGGCACACATCTGTGCAGTGCCACAGTGCCTCATAATCATTCAAGTGGGTGTCTTCCAGCATGAATGAAATGGAATTGGAAGTGGAATTTGGAATCGGAAGAGCAGCAATCACAGTCGCCGCAACAGCAGCAACAACAACCAAATCTCGTTCTCGTTCAACAGCAGATAAAAAACGTATCTACATACAGAGATGGATGGGATGGATGGATGGGATGGGATGTATCTGCGACTGCTTCTGCGACAGTGGACAGTGCTACTGGTACTCGTTGATGTTGATGTTGCCCCGTTGCCCCGTTGCCCCGTTGCTGTTGCCTGCAGAGCAATCGAATCAAGAGACAAACTGGGTAATTGGTTCATTATATAGTAGAAGCCAACGACATCCGCTCGTTAATGTAAATTACACAATAGTTTCGAATCATTTTTTTTTTTTTTTTGTACCCAGCACACAGGGTAGTTGCTATTCGACAGATTTACAGAACCAAAAGCCATGCAGGCCATACAGGCCTTGCATACAGGCTTCGTCTTCGTTTTTTTTTCACATTTCAATGCCTGCCTGCCTAATGGGTATCGACTAGTCGATTGATTAGCTTAGAGCAACGCTTAATTTTCATTTCATTTCTCTTCATCATCGACGGAATGTGCAGAGCAGGGTAGGCGGTAGGAGGGGTGGGGGGTAGAGAGCACATGGATTGTGTACATACTTATGTACATATTGAGAATAATTGTTGCACATCGCTTGATCGTAGCAAATGGTGTCTGCCAGATCTGCTCAGAGATTAAAAACCTTTGGGAAAACTTAAAAGAAAAATTTAATCCGATGGGGTGGGGGGGCATATTGCTCCACTGTATTCTAAATTTAATAAACAATTATTAATATTTGTTCAGAAAGAGAGCGAGAGAAATTAAATACCCAAAGAGATTCCAGCGAGAGCGGCAGAGAGCGTGCGCTGATAAAGCAGTGTTTCGGAGAGAGCAAGCGCAAGCGGGAGAGCGAGCAAATACAATGCGAATTATCAGTAGGACTCCGTGATATGATTATCAAAAGGTTTCTTCAACTGCGACTGCGGTCTGAACTGGCACGAGGCGGGTGGGAGAGGGAGAGGCAGGGGCTGTGGCTGTGACTGTGGCTGGACACAAGGCAGTGGCACCAGCTGGCAGCGGCGGCGGCGACAGCAGCAGTGTGGGGCAGTGTCTGAGGCATTTCTCAGCATATATGTATGTACATATGTATGTTTGTATGTATGTAAAGTATCTGTATCTGTATCAGTATCTGTATCTGTACGATTTATACATACATACATATGTATGAATTCGGAACATTCATTTTATTCATACTCATGGCATATATGTACATACATACGTACATACGTACTCGTGCATATTTGTAGTATTATTAAGACTTTTCCAACGTGCTTCGCTCCGCGATAGTACACGTAAAAAGCAACACACAAAATAAAAACAACAAAAATATTTCAACAAATATCATTCCCCCCCTCCACCCTATCGTTCCGCTCCCACAACAGCTACTACTGCATGATATATAGTCATCCGATTTCAATCAAATATTATTTCTATGTTGCTGTCAAATCACTTTCTCAGATACAAATCAGCTTAAAGCAAAGAAATGTTAGGGTTTAGGGTTAGATTTGATTATCTTTGTGGGATTATAATTGGTACCGAGTTGTCGCAGTCCTTCATTTCATTCTACGGATAGTAGAGCTTAAGCTTTAGCTGATTCTCGAAATACCACACACACAAAACGATCGTCACTCGAGCTGAATAAATAAGGTCTGAAAGTATATTGAACTATCAAGATCAAGAACCCTTTGGGTTCTGTGTGACTCAAAGGAAGAGCAGTCCAACTGAATCTCCCCCTGCGAGGAGGATATATTCCATAAAAGGAATCTAGAATCAGTGCATAATCTGAGTTGATATATCTCAGAACATTGCTGCCATTCGGATACTCTTCTTACAATAATTTGTGGAAGATATTTTGGATTTGAAGGCTGATTCTGATCAGCTGGTTGCACTGCTTGCCTCTTTTGCCTTTTCATTACTTTATTTATGGATTAATGTACACACCGATTCTACAGATTCCACTGCAGATGCTACTTCTGATATGTACTATCTCTCTCTCTCTCTTTATATCTTTATGAAAATGCAACTCTGCTTCCATACTTACTTTTCGTCAATCATCAGAGATGCTATCTATCCCCTCTGCTATTTTTCTGCCTTTGCTCTGCCGCTGCTGCTCTGCTGCTCTGCTTTTCGTGTCGTTGCTTTTGTTGCTTAAATTAACTTTTATTAAGCATGAACTCCCACCCACACTCTCTTTTGTTTTGTTGGTTGTTGTTGTTGTTGTGGTTGTCACAGCACTCTCACGTAAATTTAAAAAAAAATGAAACAAAAAAATGCATTAAATGCAGGGCAGAGACGTCGACATCCGCTGGCTGCAGTCGCGTCGAAAGAAATAAATATGCTCGCGCGCGACTCCCCCGCAGCAATAAACACACAGCAAACGCACAGGAAACTCACAGGAAACGCGCAGGATCCGCTCAAAACGCACTAAACACGCACAAAAATCGCTTCGCCAAACGCTCGGTAAACGCACGCAGAAACAAATGTTTGCAACGAGCGGCCAACGGGGGAGGAATTTTATTTAAATTATTACTCTTTACTGTAGGGGAATACTGTTACATAGAATCCGATTGGATCGGAATCGATCGATTCTCGAATGCAACCGACGACAAATTTTTGGAATTTTTTGAATGTACCGTAGGGATGTTTTTGAGTATATACTGATATATCGTTAGATATATTTATGCATATGCAGATAGATATATTTTTAGATGATATTTGGTTTTTGGTTGGCTATCAATACGGTTATAACGGAACTACTTTTCTGAATGCGGCTAAAAACGCGCGCCAACCGCCAACAGCTTTCGTTGTCCGCGGCCGTGTCTTTAATCATTCATTCAACAGGAGAGTTTAACAGGCTTAACATTTTCCAGTTCAGTTAACATTTAGTTATTTTGTTATATTTGAGCGAAAAAACTGAGTAAAGTGGTTGAGTGGATTTTTGTGTGCTAGAAGAGTGAGAGAGGCTCATTTTTTCAACGAAAAATGAGTAGGCAGAGCGGAAAAAAAAGAGACAAATATTGATCTCGCGGAAAAAAGGTATGGACAAGGCGGCAAAGAGCCTGGTTACATTGAAATGCATTCTACAAACCTCACCTCAACACGTGCACATACCTTGATTCGCTCTCGCGATCAAGCTAAGAAGAGAGCATAAGAGCGTGTATTACTCAATTTTGCGTTGAAAAATAGAGATTTGTATTCGTTAATCTGATCGATCATCTGTTTTCAAATCAGTTGAAAAAACGACTAAAACGATTTAAATTAGGATAAGCCAGTGGCAACCGAGCATATCGATACTTCATTAGAGTAGAACTGCGTTTAATCAGTTTTGTTATTCCACAATCAAAACAGATTTTTCATTTAAAACTGTTTGTTTTTCCAAAGACCATGCGACCTAGAAATCGATACTGCCAAAACCTATTGCAAAAAGCAGCTGTTCTTTGTTGGATAAACACGGAACAAATTGAAAAAGAAATCTGTTTCATGGAAACCAAAAACATTCCAGTGGGAAAAAAAACAGTTTTCTTTGGCAACTACTCAAAGCTGAGATAATGTATATAGGGCTATATATGTGTATACAATCTCTAGGCTACATTCATATGGTGTTATATTTCCACTTTCTTGAATTAAAAAAAGCTAAGTTTAGTTTAAAAAAAAAGAACCAAAAACCAATCGCCTTGCTGATCATCAGTGGTTCGAAGAGCGAACCAACTCGAAGCACTTTTGGTTCACGCGTGAACCAGTGATCGCTAACGAATTTTGGAAATTATCTCTGTAGAGTGCTGCCCCCCAAGGATTAAAAAAAAACCTGTCGCATTGAGCTAAGAAAAGTCTATTACATATATATATATATTGGGATTAAGAGCACTTAGTACTGGAAGTGAAACATTTAACGAGGATCGAGAAAACGGAATACCGAAACATTTGGGGGATATGGGGAGCCAGGCTGCTACTAGTCCTTGAATTTGCCGAGAATGATCTCCCGATAGAAGGGGAGACAGTTCATGCGGACATTGAGGCGGGCGCAGAGCAGGAAGATGCCCGAGAGCTTCCGGTGAATGGAGTAGATCTCCTCGGGCGGCGGACATAGCCGATGGGCCACCATGGTGGGCACCAGGGCGGCCAGTCGCTCGGTGGTATTCTGCTTGCCAAAATCAAAGTCGCCGTCGTAGCGAAAGATCTCGCCCAGAATCATCACAGCATCGACGTGGGCCTGCTCCATCTGCTTCGTCTCGTAGCCGGTGAGGAAGCCCATCTGGCGTGACATCTCGAGTACGCCCTGGCGATTGTTCTGGGCGGCACTGATGATCACCTGGCGGTAATTCCGGATGAACTCGTGCTTGTAGAAGCGCGTCGAGCCAAAGTCGATGAGCATCAGCCGCCGACTGGGCGCATCGTACAGGAAGTTCGACCAGTTCGGATCCGTTTGCATGCACTCAATTTCGAAGAGTTCGCGCAGGCACAGCTTCAGCACGCAGGCGGCAATGTGGGCGCGATGCTCGTAGCTGTCAGGGAAACGCAAGGCAAGGGGATTCGATTAGGGAGGGCATCTTTCACCAGAGGGGGGGAAGCACAGCACTCACCTGAGGTCGAAGCACTTGTCGAGGGGCACGCCGGGTATCAGTTCGGTGGTGAGGACACTGGAGGTGGTCAGATCGCGCACCACCCGTGGCACATAGTACTCCGGATAGGGGGCGATCATCTGGCGGAACTTCTCCGTGTACTCCGCCTCGCGATCGTAGTCGACCTCCCACTGCAGCTCCCGCTTGGCCACGCGCACCACATTGTCGATGAAGAAGCCTTGCGGAAAGACATCCCACACCTTGAGCATGCCCACCAGATTATCGATGTCGCTCTCGATGCTCTGGGCCACGCCCGGATACTGGATCTTGATGGCCACCTGCATGCCATCGGTGAGCGTGGCGCGGTGCACCTGCCCAATGGAGGCGGCCGCAAACGGTTTGTCCTCGAAGCTGCTCAGCCGCTGGCGCCAGTCGGGCCCCAGCTGTGTGTTCATCACGCGCTCCACCTGCCAGTCGGGCATGTAGTCGGCCGCCTGGCGCACCCGCTCGAAGGCCTTCGCCAGCTGCGGCGACACCACGCTCGAGTCCTGGATGCTCAATATCTGGCCGATCTTCAAGGCCGCACCGCGCACCTTGCACAGCGTGTCCACGATACGCTCCGCATTCGCCGGACTGAGCAAGGCCTCTCGCATCGTCTTGGAGCCGCCCATGCCCAGGGCGCCCTTGGTCAGCTCGTTCAGCGTGCCGATGCCCAGGCCGGCGAAGAGGCCACCAAAGGAGGCCATTCTGCCCAGGCGCGAGGCTGGCACACGCCGCTGCTTGGCCACCTTGCTCAGCTCGGGCACATCGATGCCGCCCTCGTTTCGCCGAGATGTGTCCAGAGGATTGGGCGAGGGACTCGCTACAAAGCGCAGCACATTGTCCACGTACTGGGTGTCCCTGGCGAGGATGCCTTCGGCTGGACCGGCTGGACTGGCAGGCGGCGCGATGGGCACCTGCTTGCTCTGGGTGGTGGGCGTACGTAGGCTGATCTGACGGTTTTTGTTGCGCTTGGACAGGATGTCCTCGAACTCCTCGAGCGTGATGGAGGATATGTCTAGGTTGGCGGCATCCAGCTCCACTTGCCCGCTCGTCGCCGTTTCACCAGCGCCTGGCGACGACCTTCGCCGCTCCTGGCTCCGGCCAGCGGTTGGGCCCGACAGTTGGGGCATCATCGAGAGTTTCGTTTCCAGCAGCGAGCAGATTCCCTTGGCCACCACGTAGCCCCGTTCGGTCGTCTCCTGGAGCACCTGTTGCACTTTCTTGAGCTCGTCGCCCGGCTGCTCACCTGCTCGGCGTACGGTTTGTCGCGTCTGACTCACGTTCTCTGCCAGCAGCTCGCGCACGCTCGAGTTGCTCCACAGATGCTTCGTCAGCGCCAGATGCTCGCGACCGCACGCCTCCGCCACCAGCTGCAGGCCCCGCAGCACCCCGATCAGATCTTGGGCGCCCCGCGACATCCTCCCCCAGGCCACCCCTCTGCTGCACTACACTATTCCGGTTTACCCACAGATGACGACACGGTGGTCGCCGCAAATGCGGTTGCGGAGGCGATGTGTGGGCGACACTTGAGGTGATGGTTGATGTTATTGCTGATGTTGCTGCTCGCTTTGGGCAAGTTTCGGCCTTGTTTTCGGGCCTCTTCTTTTGTGCTAGTTACGTAAACAAAATAGCGGAACAAAAATAAGTTCAAGAAATGCGGAAAACGGTCAAATGGCGCAAGTTGGCAGCACAGTTGGACCGGCAAGTCGCAAGGCTGTTATCGATATACATGTATTTGTTGTCTTCTTTGGAAATCCCCACTAAAATCCGCATTAAATGGTGGTAGCAATTTGCTAAAATGCTTGATGGCATAGAAAGGATAATGTTGCTGCTCTGACTGCGAATAAAAACCGAAAATAAAGCAAAATATTGTGAAATTAATAAATCAACATTGCTGACCTTTTGCAACACTACACCATTAACAGTCACAGTTACAGTTATGGTGGTATAAAAAAACTAAATTTATATTTGTAGATCGTCAATAGCCGATGCACCCAGACACCCATATATATATATATATACAATTTGTGACTAACTAATTTTAAAGGTATACAGGTATTGTTCTACACCACCGACTGACTCGCTGAGGCACTTTTACTCTGTCACCCTGAGGCCTACTTTCGCGGCAGGCGCCCGGCCCGCTCCGTTGTGGGATCGGCCAGCTCCCATGCAGGTCGAAAGTCGCCCGGTGTCCCGCTGCAGGGGCTGCTGCTGCTGCTGCACGAGTCGAGGCGTTTCAAATGCGGATTGGGCACCGTGTTGGACCTGTAGCCAATGGAGGTGTATCCCTTGTCATACAGCGGGCAGTAGGCCACGCAGTTCAAATGAATGTAGTGCCAGACGTCATGGTAGGACCACTCCAGAAGCGGGTTCAGCCGCATCATAGGCGGCCAGCCATTGTCCGTGGGCTGCAGTCAAAAAGGAGAAACAAAATTTAGGCAACGTGAATGGGGATGGGGGACTGGGGCACGAACCTGCATGGGTGCGAGGTGCTCGCAGTAGGGATCCGTGTTTCGGCTGCCCACAAATACGCCCTTGATGCGCGGCATATCCGCCGACATGTGGGTGAGGGCCTCCTTTAGCGACTCTTCGTACTCGATCAGCTGGACGTCGTAGTGCTGCACGCAGCGCGCCACAAACTCGTCGATCTCCGCAAAGGCGTCGTCCGACTTGATGTACAGCATGGGTATGTCCCGACTGCTGATGCCCTGCTGGCGGCAATAGCGCATCAGCAGGTCCAGCAGCACGGTGCAGTCCTTGCCGCCGTTAAAGCAGAATATGAGCTCCTCCACGCCATACAGCTGCAGGGTCTCGTCGAAGAAGTCAAAGGCCGTCCGCTGACGCTGCTCGATTCGCGCTCGCGTCTCGGCTGTGACCACAATGTGGGGCGACGGCGCCTCGGGAGTACGGCCGGTGGCCATACTCTTGCCCCCGTTCAGGGTCAGTAAACTGTTGTGGCGTGGCGGCGAGGGATTCGGAACGGGTGTTGTGATCGTCGTGGTGGTGGTGGCGGTGCAGCAGCATTTACTCATGACGTTGAAGGGGCTCTGTACCGCATGGGGGCTTCCGTATGCGGCGGTACGACGATAGATGTGTCCCAGCCAGGCTGTGCGACGTAGCATCCACTCGCTGAGAGATCTGTCCGGTGCTGGTATAGAATGCGGCCAACTGCTGACTGTCTGAAATCGTTAGCCAATTATAATGCATGTCAGCGCCAACTTTCTACCCGATGCCAGATCGGACCTTCCCTCGCCATGGAAGTGTGTGTCTGGGTGGCTGTGTGTGTGTGTGTGTGTGTGCGGTCGTGCCTTACATAATATATTTTGTGTAAATAATCAGACAAGTGTCTCTCCGTTGCCACAAAACCAAAACACACAAAACCCAATCACACAACTGATTTGCGTTATCTTCAAGCCAAATTACATCACATTCGCAGCCTGGAAGCGACAACCGCACACACACACAACACACACACACTATAGGAACACGTGCATGCGTGGATAGTTACTTTCACATTTAATTCTCTGACTCTTCCGCTGCGTCTAACTGTCCACAACCAACATTGCTAATATTAATGATTGATTGCTAATAATAAATAAAATAACCCAAGCCGGAGGGACAGCTGTTAGAAAGAGATAGCATATACGATAGAGGTGTTTGACAGCTCTAGTATACGAATTGTGCTGCTGAAAGTATCGATATGTGGCAGTTATTCAACACTGTCTCTATCATTTGATCTTGCTGAAATTAAAATAAAAAGCAGTTGCTCATTAAAGAGCGTTGAATGCTTCGCTTAAAATCAAGATTCGTTTGATTTGGTAACGCAACAAGGTAGAAATTAATTATTATATTTTCATAGAAAAACATCAGTCTACCAACACTAAACGATAATGACAGTCATCGATATCGTGTAGCTCTGGACAACTCTGATGGCGCCGCATTTAAACGTAATGTTCAAAAATAATTTTATTTGCATGAATTACAGGATTTATTTGACATACATATAACAAATGTTGGCTTACGTTCTCTGTGATAACATTCAACAGAAAAAAAAGGCAATGCAAATATTGTACACGTTAGCTAATAGCTATACACAGACACATAACAAATGGGCACTATTGGTGTTGCTCCCAGAGCCTCCATCATACGTCGACATTGTCCAGGACATTGTCGATGAGGCCGACAACCTTCTGGCGAAAGCGCCGATTCTGCTTGCCGCTCATCTCCTTCAGGTAGGGGTGCAGGCTTATCAAAAAGGAGTAATCCGCATCGGGTCCTGGTGCCCCTGATGGTCCTAGTCCTGCTCCTGCTGCTGCTGCTGCTAGGGGCGGTGTGGGCATGGCCGGTGCCGGGGTGGCCGCCATTGGTGGTTGTGGCGGTGGCGTCGACAGTTTGTGGTGTGACAGCAGCCCGCTATTGTTGCTGGGATGGTGGTGGCTGCTGCCCTTGAACCAGTGAGCCAATTCCGTCCAGTTGTCCATGTTTTGGTGGTGCCCCAGGGCGGCAGCCATTGTGGCCGGCAGCGTCACCAGCGACGACTGGTGGGCCACAATTTTGTCGCCCCGCTGTTGAGTTTGTGGCAGGGTGTGCTGTGGATGCTGCTGCTGCTGCTGCTCCACCTTGATCGACTGCAGTCGCAGGGGCAGGCAGGATGTGGGCGAGTGCGTGGCATGGTCCTTGCCCTCCTCCTCCGAAACCTGAACATCGAGCGGCATATGCGTATGCGTCTCGCCCTCGCTCTCCACGCTCTCTTTGGTCTCGTCCTCCTCCTCCTCCTCCGCGCTCACCATCCGCAGGTGACCCACTCCGGCCAGAAATGTGGCCGCCGTCGAGGTGCTGGGCTTGCGCAGCACCATGCCCGCTGTGGCCGGACCGGCTGCCACTGACACCTGCTTGTGGCAGGAGCGTGACTTTGTGTAGGGTATGAGAAATTGCAGGTATTTGGACAGGTAGTATTTGCGCTTGCCGCGTCCCGTCTGAGTGCGGGCCAGCTTCAGGGAGCGCAGGAAGCTGCTTCGAATGGTGCGCCAGCGCTCGCGGCAGTTGCGTACTGCGGGAGAGAGGAAGAAACAAAACAAAACATGAACAAAAGAACAACAGTTACTGCTTGCTGCTGTAGGGTATGCGCCGTGTGCAGCAATTGCTGAAAAACCCAATTGTCGGCCCCCAGAGGCAAAAGCAACAACTAATTGCATGCAAACGCTGTGCGACACAGTGACACACCTACACAGTCACACCAGCTGCATTGAAATCGCAGCGCACTCATATAGAGCCATCACAAAAAGCTTGCATCACACACACACAACAACACTAGCAAGAGGCAAATGAGCACGCAATTGAAACCAACAAAAAAAAACAGAAAAACAAACGCAAACGCAAAAATGAAAATGAAATTTGATTAGGAGTTGAAATGAATGATCAGCAAATTATCAGCTGGTGTTGGTGTTGCTGGTGGCCTGTACCCGTGTCCTTGATTTCATTGGCAACATGCTGCCAGGCGCGCTGCACCTCCTCCTTCTTGCTGTAGCCGGGATGCGTGTAGTTCCATAGACAGGCCTGGCTCTCCACGAGCTGCACGAATTTCACATTGAATACGGGATCGTCCTTGCGGGCCATTCTGTACAGCTTTACAGCACTGTCCTGGCACCGTTATCTCTCGCGGCCAAGCACATCACACACACACACACATACAGCTGCACCCACAGTTGTCGCACAGTGGAACGCACAGTATAACGGAGAGAATTTCGCGCGCGCCAAATTGCAAATTGCAACAATCCGCGAAAATCGGCAAAAAAAAAAAATGGTGGGCAAAGGAGCAGGCGATTGAGGTGGCGAGGCGTCAACTGGTCGCATCGAAAGCGCAACGAAAACTGAGCGTGAAAAGCTGATTGGGTGGGGGGGGGGACACACAAAAGCTGCAGTGCACACATTTTATGCTGTGTGTTTTTGCAAAAGCAACAATGAGCCAACAGCTGCAATGCAATAAAAATTGTATAAGCGCTGCGGGAGGGGGCAAGTGGCACAAGGGAGGGGGGCTGTATAGTGGCAAAAATCAAAAGCAGCAGTGAGTAACGTGGGCCGCGTTGCAATGGTGTTCGTGTTGGTGTGACTAAAAGCGATAAAAGCTTCTGCGATGACGTCACAGGCTGCATTTGTTGCATGCTATGTAAACAGAGAAAACGAGAGAGAGATAAATAATATTGAATCACTACGATGCACCACTGCCATGTGCTGTCGTTCCCACTGTGCGGTGAGAGCTAATCACAGCTGAATCAGCAAAAGTGTTGTCAAAAATGCATGAGAACTTAGTTCTTTCTATTCAAATATTCTAATACATGAAAAATTCTTGGTTGTTGGTTAGCTCGACAAGTGTTTATTCATTTCAATTTGCATATTAACGAATTTTTTCGATATGCGCTCCAGCGCTCGCTATCGATGTATCGATAGGCAAATGGTTGATGCGCCTTCCAGCACTGCTGCACCGCATATGTAACCCCGTAGCTGTTGTTTTTCACGTTAAATTTGTATAAAAACGATGGCTGCTAGCACGAAACTTCTGCTGGGCAGTGGCCTCTGCCACAAACTGTGCCAGGTGAGTGCCCACCATTCGGCTATATCCAAAGATTGAATTGCCATCCCGCTCTTGCTTCAGCTGACACGTTCCCTGCACACGCAGCCCGCACGGCTGTCCAGCTTCCGATCGTCCAAGGAGGTGCAGACCCTGGAACAGTATCCCGAGGTGGAGCCCGTCGCGAATGCGGCTGCCTGGAAGTTTGTGGAACGCCTGCTGCCGCCCCAGACAGTGCCCCGGCCGGTGGCCAAAACTGATTACCCATCCGGCTGGCAGCCACAGAAGTCGGACGGCTCGGACAGCGGCTATTTTGTGGCACGCACCAAGAATCACATGGTGCCCGTGTATCTGCACACCCGTTTCCGTGGCCAGCGTCGCATCACGGTGGTGCGTCGCGTCCAAGGCGACATCTGGGCCCTGGAAAAGGATCTGCGTTCAGTGGTGGAGCAGGCGCGCAATGGCAAACTGTGCGCCACGCGCGTCAACGAGCTCAGCGGCCAGATACACATCCACGGCGACTATGTGGATGTCTTGCGGGATCATCTCAAGGCCAAGGGCTTCTGATTGCATTACCTTTTGTTTGAAATAATATTAGAAATATAAAACCAATGCTTGTGGCTGAATGGAGTAGTCGGTTGGGACTTATAGAAAGGCTGCAGGCAGTACCTTGCAGTCACAAAATAATTGCATTTACTTTATTTGCTTAAACATATAGAGCATAAATTACATCGAAGGGATCGGCCTGGTTGCAGTGGAAATTTACATTGAGAGTGCGAACTGTGCCTTAAACTACATCTAGCTATTTAGGGGGGAGATAATGTGGGATTGGGGGTGGTGGAGGGTGGGTCACGTGCTGTGACTGGGGGTGGGGTGACTTAGCACGTGGGACGACACGACTCCCAGTCCTACCATTTAACGTTTACTGTCCTCCCCGTCATGGATCGCCACAGTGGGAGAAGTGGGCGGGAAAACGGGATGAGGAGAGTGGCGGTGTGGATGGGGGAGTCGATAGGGAGAAGCTCTGCTGTTGCTTCTGCCGTTGCAGCTGCTGCTGCCTCTGCCACCGTCAGGTACGCATGGGGGCGCAAGCAGCAGTCCCCCACCGCTATCCACTGGCACCGGCCATTGCCGGAACACCGCCACTGAGTGCCGAGAGACCCAGTCCAACAGTGGGTCCAACCAGGGCGCTCGTCCCCGATGTGGGTGTCACTGGGCCCGTGCCCGTGCCCGGACCCGTTGAACTGGTGGTGGAAGTGCGCTTGAGCGCCTTCCTGATGATCGTCCAGTCCTCCATGATGTCCTCCTCGCGCAGCATATACACCACATAGGGACCCGTGACAGTGACGGCCTTCTTGCGCCCCGGCCCGCGCACCTTGCTCTGTCGCTTGTCCGTGCCCCAGTCGGCCCAGGAGATGTCCACGTTGTGGCGATCCTCTTCCAGGCGGCGTATCCGCTCCAGCAGTTCCTCTCGCAGGTTGTCGCCCGCCATATGCTTCTCGCTCTACATCAGAATGGGGAATGGGGGGAGGAAGATTTGGTCTGTGAAATTTTTGGCGGGAAAATATGGTATCGATGTACCTCCAAGTGCTGGACGCACGCCTGCTCCTCGGACAGGAACTTGTGTTCGATATTCTGCAGACGAAATCTTCGGAGCACATCGGCCACCTCTATGCGTGTGCGATAGACCTTGTCGAGGTCCCTCTGGGGATGCACAAACTCCTCGGAACGGCCGGAACGCACCTCGGCCAGTTGGCTCTCGATCCAGGTGAGTCGCTCAAAGTAATATTGCTCGCGCAGCGTGTTGAACTGCCTCTCCAGACTCACTGTGGATATGCCAGAAGGAATGCATCGTTAGCAGGGCAATGATGGAGAGGATGGATGGGCGCCACTGGAGGGGGGGGGCAAAAGATGCTTACGCAAATCCTCAATGTGTTCGGCTCGGATGCGCTCAATGTCACTGGAGTCCATCTCGGAGGAGTCATCGGAGTCGCATTCGTTGTTCTCCTCCTCGTCCGAGGAGTCGCGGCCCTGGCTGGAGTTGGAGCGCTCTGACTCTGCCCCAGAGACGTCCCCTTCCCCATCGGAATCACCATTTTTCACTGGCATTTTCCTGTTCGTGCAGAGTGTGTCCGGAGTACGGGTCAAAACCTGTGCTCGATGCATGCACAATTTGGATTTTCCACTGGAACAATTGCGTCAAATCTGATGGGAACAATGGCGTCAAATCTGATGGAAACTTTTGCGATTCTAGAGCTGAAGCAAAAAAGTGTTGGACAACGTTGCGCTATGGCCCCAGTGCTGTGCAGCATCATATTGCTATGTCAGTGATGGCAGCAATAACTCCTATAAAAGGCTAAGTGTGCTACGTGACCAGCGGAAAATGGAGCTAAAAGCTAAACTGCTTTGTAGATAAGAAAAAATAGGTGTGCATAGGTATGGTAAAGAAACAAGATATATTTATGTATCAGTGAGCTATCTAGTATAATATATTTTACATATAGTAGCTAAATTTAAACTATGCACAACTCTCCTGATACGTAGCTATTATACTAGTTTGTGTTGGATATTACGTTTAAGGAAATATTTTTGATAATTGATTGATTTTTAAAGAATTGACAGCCACTTCTGGCTGATTAATTTTTGACCATGTAACCAAAAAACTGCCCCTCAGAGAAATCCAGCCAAACTACCATTACTGAGTGACTAATAGCCAGCAGCTGATAGGGCTGCCAACATTCAACTGTGGACTGCCAACTGGACGGAAATTATCGATACCTGGGACTTTTGGACAACAGCTCAGTGGAAAATACGTGTAATATTTACAAAACCTCGATTTTGTAGTGCATCCAGCGATATGGAGACTCCGACCGCAGACGATTTGCTACAGTTTCGCGACTATAGCACCACAAGCGCAACTAACAGCGGCACACCAGCGCAAATCAATGTGAATTCGCCAACGCATGCATCAGGCGGCGGCGGTGGTGGCATTGGTAGTGGATTCGGTGCACAACGTCAGCGCGGTGATCCTCTGGCCGATCTAATCTACGACATGAGCACTTCCGCACAGGCCATGGCTGGCGGTGGCGCCACCAATGCCCAGAACTCGCCCCTTGATGCATCTGGCGGTGGTGGCGGTGGCGGCTCTGGCGCACGCCTCTCCTTCCTGACCATCGAGTACTATCAGCAGTTCTTCAACGTGGACACTTACATGGTGCTGGAGCGCATTGCCAACTCGATGATACCCAAGCGGGCGGCTGGCAATTATCTACGCATGAACATTGGCGAAAATCCCGATCTCTATGGCCCCTTCTGGATAACCGTCACGCTGGTGAGTGAGCTGCAGTCACCCTATAGCCGAGCCTATGGACCTATTCAAACCCATATTTGTTTTGCCCCGCAGATCTTCTCGATTGCCATCAGCGGCAACATAGCCAGCTACTTGCATCATGCCAGCGATGGCTACCACTGGCACTACAACTTCCATCTGGTCTCGTACGCGGCCACGTGCATCTTCCTGTATGCCAACATCTTGCCGGCCATACTCTGGGCCCTCTTCAAGTACAGCCTGAAGCCCGTCGATGATGCCGATGCCGTCGAAACGGATAGCGTAAGTGCTCCCTCCATCCCGCTCTAATTCACATTCATGGTGTTGCATCCGTCTCTTTCTTTCTGGCGCTTCCTGCTGCAGGCCACCTACACACCCACCCTGCTGTCGCTGATGTGCATCTACGGCTACAGCCTGGCCATCTACATACCCGTCTCCATTCTCTGGGTGATAAATGTAAGTGGCTGCCCACTGCGGCTGGATCCACTCACTTGAGGGTAATTGATTCGCTTTGTTTGCAGATCTCCCTGCTCCAGTGGCTGCTAGTCATCACCGCTGCCCTGTTGTCGGGCACCGTTCTGATTGCCGTACTGACGCCAGCCCTGCGCAACTCCCAGTTCTCGCTGTTCCTCATCATTGGGATACTCAGTGCACACGTTGTGTTGGCTGCCGGATTTATGCTGTACTTCTTTCACAATCCCCCCGACTCGCCGGTGGCTATGCCCATGCCCACAGCTGCACCGGCTCCGTCTGTCATCAAGGCCGTTACCCAGGCCGGCAAGGCCGTGCTGGCGGGCAACCAGACCCGCTAAGATCCATTCCACAAAATCCTAAAAAGTCGCCGTCACCTTATGACATTTGTTGTAAACTAAGATTGTGTCTTTACCATACTGGACGTTGTGCAAGTTGAAATATCTGGATCAGGCCCAGCCAGCACTCTCCTCCCCGCCAGGCATGATCTTCCAGGAACCAGAAATATCCTTAATAATCATGCCTGGGGCATCTGTATTGACTTCTTTTAAAATTTTTGGCGACTGTATGTATATTTATAATAAATTAGACATATTTAGAAGTACATACCTACATATGCATGCATGTGTACGTGTAATGCCAATACTAAAAAAAAAACAACATTCAAGATTTGGCAGAATTCAACGAATTGGCGGCAGCTGGAAGCTGCCTCGAGGCTTAGAATATTGTAAATATAATCAATGTACTTAAAAGGAGACTCGTTAAACAATTACCCCTCACCACAGCCCCAGCCCATGACTTTATAGATATATATTCACACGATTCAGCTACGAAGCGTCCAGTTGGAACTGTATTTTGGATGCCTAATCTGTGGGGGGCTCTAATTTAAAAATGTTTTAAATACTGATATTAGCTGCTGATTAAGCAAGTAGAATCATTTCAATCGAGATGGGTCTGTCGCTTATTTATGAAAATTACTGGAAAAATTCGGCATGAGAGGAATGGGAAGGAATAAATTATTACAGAGGAATTAGTACATTTAAATATCTTAATTTAAAATTTAAACCCAAAGGAAATTTAATCATACCTGGGAATATTAATATTATTGCCTTTGTTCCTTGTTTCCATCCTTGAGTTGGGGCAGGGAACTTTGTGAACTTTGCCCCATTGCTGCGCTGATTTCCCATTCTTGTTCCGTGTGCACTTGTACATATTTCTTTAAGGAAATTTCTTCACATCCCAAGCCAGTCCAAGATCCCATATGTAGACTGCCAGTCCCATGTCTCCCACATAGCCACCCAACGAGAGAGTGGGCAGGAGGACGGAGGTGCGTTGGCTTGCTTTGGCTGTGGGTGGGGGTGCCTTCTTGAGGGGTGTGGACTGCTTCGGCATGAGGGCCATGGCTGGGTTGGGTTGGGTTGGGTGGTTTGGTTGTACGCTTGGCTGGCTGAATGAATTTTTGGGTGGTAGTGTCGTCACACACACACATGCACGCATATATCCCTGTTTGTATGTGTGTGTGTGTGTGTACATTAGCATTTTGGATGCCTCCAGGGGGGGCTTCTCGTTTGCCTGTTGTTTCGTTTCGTTTCCCTCTCCCAGTCCCAGTCTCCCACTCTGGGCTGGTCTCTCTCTGGCGTTGTTGTTTCGGGCGGGGAATGCTTTTGCCGAATTTCATGCGCTTGGCTTATTTATTCGAGCAATGTGAGAATTATTTGTATAGGGCCAATGGCTTGCCAATGCCCGATGCTGTCACAGGGTGAGATATTCGCAAGAATCTCGGCAAATAAGAGATTGTCGGTGAACGAATGAAAGATACCCAAAAGCTTAATATTGCCAAAGATTTTAATGGGTTTTAATAGAGAATATATGCAGCTATACATATGTATGTATGTATGTGTTATATGTATATGGAAATCTAGCAACTCACCACGAATTAACTTCCCTTTGTTTCGTTTCAACCACTTTCACTTGCCACTTTCTGATGTGCGAGAGATCACCCTGTATGCACAATCCAATTGGTATGGTGATGCACGTACATACATAGCCCCGTTATATACAATTTGACAGTGTATCTATGGATACACATACGCACATTTATAGAGAGAGAAAATTTCTCAATTTCGAATGCAAATATTCCCATAACGCATCGTTAGAGTTGGTTCTTTTTTTTCTTTTATACACAGAAATATACATATGTACACATACCTTTTATGCGTACCACAGGCGCAGCCACACCCACACACACATTCAGAGTGCGAATGAGATGGGTGAGCGAGAGAGATAGAGAGAGAGAGAGAGAGAGAGAGAGAGAATTTAGCTTTCGCTGATTTTCTCTACAAAAGCTGCACATCTGCAGTCCTTCTTCTGTGCGCGTATGTACATATATACATACATATATACATATGTATATATATGCGTGTGTGTTTCCTATGTACATATCTGCATGGGTGTGTGTGTTTTTGGGGCATGCTGCATAGTTGGATTACGGGGCGTATATGTACATCATGTCAGCATCAGGACAATAAATATAGGTACATAAATACATATGCATGTACATACATAAATACATATGTTTGTACATATTAACACCTGTATTTCGGGGGTTGCAAATGTGTGAAATATTCGAATATTTGGCAAATTAAAAGAAACATGTAAGTGCGTACATACATATGTATGTACATATGTATATACAGCGCGTGTCATAACTATAGGACTACTAGTCTTGGTCAAAAATAGAACTAACTTTCATTAGGATTTAATTTTGATTTTCATTGCCCCCTTTATTTTCAATGCAGGATGCATTCCGATAAATAATCGTTAAGTGTTCGTTCGATAGTCTAGGAGTTCCTTATGATCACATTTGATTATTCAACATTTGTGATAGCAATTTTAGGAGTTTTAATTAATTTAATTCATAATTTCATTCAAATTCTGCCCATCGATAACCGAATAATAATTTCGATTGCCCGCTTGGATGATCTTGGATCAGTTCATTGCGTGTGCTTATCGTTAATGCATATATGAATCACATACTCCCATGTACATTTATGCCACATACCCAATCCATTTTGCTGCAAGAAATATATGTACATGGATTAACTGATTTGCCATTCAGCTGATTAGCATTTATGTGTGGGGGGGCACGAAGGAGAGCCGCCTGCGGGTCGTGGACTGGCAACCGGAAACGGAAGTCACTCGATGGCTGTTAAAAGTTCTGTGGCTCTTTTCTCCAATTCCCCCTCTCTCTCACCATCTCTCTCCCTGGTTCTCACTCATTTTGGGTGGAATGAAATTAGCCAATGTTCAGCGACTTGTGTGATTCCTTTTTTGTTGCCTCTTAAAGCAATTACTGTGCCCCCAGCCCCAGCCCCAGCCCAACCCCAACCCCCAGCCAACCTTACAACCCTTCGAGCCTCATATGTGTGTATGTCTCTTTTTTAGCCCCTTCGAGTCGTACTCGTAATGCATTCGAAGCGTTAAAATGCCTCTTGAGTGAGGATGTTTGGGCACTGGCAAGGAGCTGCACGAGGGGCCCCCGCAATGCAATGATGACTGATGAAGTGGTCTGGATACTGGCAGCTCCTGCGGCTGGCTCTGCTCTGCTCTGCCTGGGACGAAGTGCATATGCTAATTGGCCCAGAGCACGCCTGAGCGAGCACCTGTTGAAGGTCGATGTCACGCCCCTGTCACAGACAGAAGCCAGAGCCCAGAGCCCGAACCTCCCGCTGCGGTCTGTCATACGATACGATTGAAAGCATTGCGGCGGCTGGGGGCCCACTCAATTGATTCGCATGCCACCAGAAACGAGCAGTTTGCGTATTTTGCAACATTTTATGAGGCAGCAAACAGACTTTATCGAACTTTAAAAATAATTATAAGCCAAAGCAAATTTGTTTCTTGATTTCTTTTCTTAGCTGGAAAAATTTCTTAGCTCTAAACTTAAATGAATAATAAAATAATCAAGCCACAAATGAGTTGATTTAATTGTTGGTTTATGGCCCTTTACTTTGTCTCCCTGCGGACGCTTTGTACTCGTATCGGGGGATCTTTTGGTGTTTTCTTTGTGCCATTTTCCTGCTCCTGCTCCGTGTGACTCTTTATGCATTTCACAGTTTGATTCTCAAGGCGTAACCACACACGCGCATCCATCCCAGAGGGATCCCACCCTCCTGCACTCAATTACAAAGACTCCGATGTTGACTCAGAGAACTTGCCAACTTGGCGTACGACTCGTGCGACTCGAATACGTGACTGGATGGTGCGAGTGCCACAGATCCCCGCCCTGCCATAGCCAGCCCTGTAACCAGCTTTAATCGCATCTTAAAGTTTGCCAATTTTTTTCGGTTCAATTTCGGTGTGAATGTCCCTATTGGTGGCTTCGGTTACGTGGGCAATGTCCTGTGCTTTTTGGGGTACATGTACCGCGCCCATCTTGACACAATTTCGGATATGCTGTGCGGCCCACGCACCCGAAATGGCTCCATTTTTTGTTTGCCCACTCTGGGCAACTCTACACAAGGGGGGCCCTGCTGGCTGGCTGGCCGGCTGGATGGCTGCTGTCAGGTCTCCACGGAACAGCCAGCGCCCCTAAGCCGCTGTGAGCTTTGAAGGCGCGCCAGAGCTTTCATCAGTTGCTGCTTGCGCAACTGCATCCGCATACCCTGCACTGGGGCAGGGCATCCCACGTATCCCACTCGTATATCTGCACTGAGGCACTGCAGGCGGGCATTATGTATCCAGTTCAGGATTTCGCTTTGGATAATGCAAACATTTGTATGCGGGCTGCACTGCCACTGGCACTGCCACTGAGTTTGGGATTGAAATTGGAATATAGACAGGGTGTGTGGGTGTGGGTGTTGGTTGGGGGGCTCCTGGGTCCCTTGATGCTTGAGTGGTTCAGTGGCTGCTGCACCGCACACATAATTGCATTATTTATTTTAATTAATTGAAATGGCTGCAATGGAGGCCCCGCGCCCCGCCACTGACGTCGCCTCCTGTTGACCCGAATGTTGAGTAAGCTCACTAATTGCAATTGACTCCCAGGCAGCTTTCAGCACGAGCTCTGGCTGTGGATCTGACTCTAGCTTTGGCTTTGGCTCTCCCTGCGCACCGAGGCGGAGCCCAAGTAGGGCATTGGATGGATGTGCAGGACTCAAGTTTAAGTGCTTTCACCCCGATTGCGAGGCTACTTAATCTGTGCCACAAATTGATTGCCTTGAAGATTGATGCGAGCTCTCCTCATTGCCGATAAGCTGCTGGCAGCACTGCATCTTCAATGCCAGAGTGGAAAATGAAAATTAAAGTTTTCCCATCAGGAATATAAGCCTAAGTAAGCCTTCAAAACACTTTAAGGAATTTTTTTAATGGAATTATTTGTATTGTAAACAGCTGGAAGAAAAGGAGTGAAAAATATTTATTTATTTATATATTTTTATTTCATTTACTTTTATTTATACAATTTATTTTA